TTTTTCCACCGTGAGTTCTTTGGTCTATGAAGGATTCGGATGTTATTGTTTAATTGCCTCGAATCACTGTGTGAAAGGTGGGGTACACCTTGGACAGGTCTCAAGTCCATTTCAACCGGCGAGTCAGCCTCCTCTCAACTAGTAGATTAACACAATTTTATAGCATGTATCATTAAGTTTTCTTTGTGCTGTAAGATTCGTAAAACTGCATCAAAGCCCGAGACCGGCCTGATCTGCACATTATCACATTATAACGGCCCGGACCGCCTCTAATGCAGGTCGGTCCAGGTCGGGTTTCGGGTTCGGGTTAGAAATGACAGCTCTACTCTGGATGGGTTCTTATTTGTTGAAATGTTTCGTCTTTTTGTATAAAAGAAGAACCCGTCCAGACGACCTGACTCAGCCTTGTTAGATAAGAGTAAATAATTTGGTTGTGAAAACTGGTAAATGTTTTTGCACTTCCATTAAAAAACCCAACCCAAGCAGGGAACTCATGGCTGACTTGCCATGGAATGTCCCTATATCTACTCAGACAAATATGTTTGGCACACCATGGCACATTCTTCTTCTTATTTTTCAAATGAATAACTTTATTCAGGCTTCCGCACGACAATGAAGCCAGGACCAGTATCCCTTACCTGTTTGGTCCGCCAAGTAGTGACAGGGCCATCTGACTGGAACAAACTCCAATCATCTCTAGCCTGCGCTCAGGGCTTAGACCACAACGCTCTGCAGCCTCCAACAGGCGCTTATGAAGTTTATAGGGAATGGTGGGAACAACCAGGCCTGAATCTGAAAAAAACAAAACAAAAAACCAACAACACTTTTTTTAATTAAAGCTTTATTTAACCAGATAAAAATACCATTGAGATCAAGACCTCTTTCACAAGGGTGACTTGGCCAAGAAAAGGCAGCAGCGCATGTCATAAAACAAAACAAGTAACAAGATAAAGAATAGGACTTCAGAAATATATAAAAACATACAATATGACAGTAAAGGGCAATGGTTGTAATAATAATAATAATTTAAAGCAATGGCAATTTAAGATCTGAAACACGGGCCCTGTTGACAAGATATCGTCAGTTCTTTAAAAGTTTGCAAAAAGCACTCAAAGTAACAAGTTCTGACCGTTTTACTTCAGCTTGCAAGACATTCCTAGCTGAGCGGGCAGAGAAGCTTTCTTGCCCTTTTCTGTTCTCACATGAGGAACATAAAGATGCAAACAGTCCTTAGAGCGTAAGGCATAACTACTGTCCATTCCTCGAATAAAACTACATAAATAATTCGGAAGCAGGCCAATAAGAGACTTATACACCAAAGTCCTCCAATGTACGTCGCCTGTTATACAGGGAAGACCTACTGGTTTTAAAATAGAGATCACAGTGATGAGTAAGATAGCTACCACCAGTAATAAATCTTAATGTACACTGGATGACAACTGTTTGAAGCACACATATAAACAACATGGCCATAGTCAAGTACGGACAAAAGCGTAGCTGTGATCAAAAGCTTCCTAGCTCTAAGGGAGAAACATGATTTGTTTCTGAAGTAGAACTCAAGCTTCACCCTTAATTTGGAGATTAGGTGTTTCACATGAAATTTAAAAGAAAGCTCCTTATGATAATTAAGCCCAGGTACTTATAACTGCAAGTGATATAAATGCAAGTTAAGATAATTCGACACTTTCTTCTTCCAGATGTATACCAAATGTTAGGAATTTTTGTTGAATAAAAGCATCAATGTGTTTTAAATAATATGGCCACCAGTGACCCCCATGACCCGGAAAGGAAGAAACAGGTAAAGATGATGGATGGATGGTGTCGTAAATAAACATCAGCCCAGATAAAGTAGCCTATATTAAACTAGTTTCATGGCACTAAGTCAGATATGCTTCACTTTAACTGCTGGTCATGGTCAACATCCCACAATGGTCTTAATGAGAGTAAAAGCTACTCTTTGGAGAAAAGCCCTTCCTCCTCCTGTCCTGATCTTGTTTCCATCTGGGAAAATTCTCTCTTTCCTTTCCCGTTTGTCACTGCTGTCTGAGGCAACAAAGGGAAGATAGGCAATCTTTACAAAACACGGCAAACATGAGGTACTCGGAGTGAGACGCCTAGTCCCTGTGGGCCCTGAGTTCACATGCACCATCACATGGTTCTTTTTGCTGTGGGACAGGCCTGCCCTGGGCTGGACCCCCCACACCGACTGCTGTTTCAGTCATAACACACGGCAGGTTTGCGTGACAAAAAAGAAGAAACATCACACACGTGAACACCTGCGCCTGTGTCTCAGCAGCTTTTAGTGAGAGACTGGAAGAACTGAAGGAGGCCTGTGGGGGCCTAGGTGAAATAAAATGTACCTGTGGGTTTTCCCTAAGTTACTTCAAGTTGCTTTTTGGTTGTAAAGGGACTAAACAAGTCAGAGAGTAGACATGCCCCGATCAGTTTATGTACCCGTTCTGATGTACAGTTTTTACAAGTTCTGACCTGACTTTTCCAATTTTGTCTGATTCTGGTTTCTCTTAAAAAATATTTTTTAAAAAAGCAGCATACAAAATATTTTTAAAATATCTAATTAAATAGAAAATCTGTGTTTATAAGTTAAGTAAAATAAATCTACATGTTAAAAGCACAAAATTGCATCATAACACGAACCGTTATTTTTTCTGCAAGGCCTCGGTTACAAAAGTTTGCAGAAGTGCCCAACATAATGTTTGAAAAAAAAATAAAAAATCTATCCTTTATAATATTGCAACTATATGCATGAAAAACTACAGCTTGATATATCAATTAAACTATTACTTTTTCTCTCTCTCTCTCTCTTTCGGCTGCTCCCTTCTTCGCGGGTCACCACAGAGAAATAAGTCGCTCGAAGACTTGGCAATTATTTTTACGCCAGATGCCACAACGGTTAAGGGCCTTGCTCACGGGCCCAGAGTGGGGCAAATGAGGGTGGAGGCAGGTGTGGGTGCTACACCTTCCCCACCCACATTTTGATGTTGTCGGTTCGGGGAGTCGAACCGGCAACCTTCCGATCACAAGCCCACCTTCTCTAACTTCTGCACCACCAATCCCCAATTAAACTACTGCATTTGATTTACATTATTAATCTACTCGCCAATAATAGGTTTGAAACAAAAAGCTGGCAATAAAAACGTCAAGTGGCGACCGGTATTTACATTGAAAACCTTAACTTATGTATTTCACTTAGCAGTAAACGGAGCAGCAGGCATGCAATAACTGCAGAAAATCAAAAACGGTTTTGCTTTTACTAGTCTCCTGCACCTTCCATGCTTCCATTAAGACTTTATTTTTTAAAATACTTTAAATGTTTCACAAACAGCTCACATGTTAACTCAATAAAAGCAACAATATGTGATGTAGGTAGAGTGAATCAGCACATAGGGATGAGTTTACGTCTCTTATCCAAACAGAACCTAAAAGCTTTCAGCAAGATCATAAGAAAGCATTGCTGTTTGAGCCTTTCTCATACACCTTTGATATTTTTTGTATGAATAAAGCACATAAAACATCAGTATATTTAAATTAAAAAAATGATCAGATGGTTTCTGAATGAGGCTCCCAAAGAACATCAGCCAACCAAACAACAAAAAGTTATGCCAACACACGTACTGAGCCTTAAAACCAAACGTAAAACAATAAATTAGTTTTAAAGCGGCACATGTTAAGATTTTATACGGCATATCAGTTTAGGGAATTATCAACTACGTGCACGTCACCAGATCAAAGAAACATTTGCTGAGTAAGTCATCCTCTGCGTGTTTTTATGTGTCATTACTGCCATCAAGCATCGTCAGAATTGTTCTCGTGTACTTTTTGAATAACTGCACGACATAAGAACAAGTTCGCCCTTTTTTATAGGAGTAGCAGTGCTGTATCGCCTGTGGCACATTAGAAGGGTAATGAAAATCAAGCTGGGAGAACTGCACAACTCAAAATGTTTTTGATGAATAAAGCTGCGGGGAGGCAGCTTAGTCCCTACTGGCTTCTCACAGCTTTCTGGCGTAGCAGCTGAGAATTTGGTGGCCTCAGTGGTGCGCGCAAATTCACACTAGTGCTTACACGCATCTACTGTTTACACGCAACCAGGTCAGACACTTCCACAAGATAATGAAATTTAAACAGAGACTTGAGCAGGGCAACATGCTCGCTTATCTGCGCACCCCTCCCATTATTTTTATTGATACCACACAAAGGCTGCTGATGGGTTTTGGTGGGCAGCAGAAATGTGGAACATGCCGATCCCTGTGCGAGCGATAAGCACAGGAAAGTCAACTGCTTGCTGTCATGCAAAGCTCTGCCTTGAGTGCCAAGCTCAGAGGAAGTGGGAGTTGCAGTAGTGTACACTAACTGCCTTTTAAACACCTCACCTGATGTTCTTCTGAGGTTGCCGCTACCAAAACTACCCCCCACACCCTCCTTCTATACTCACGCCATCTCCTCCTCCTTCACACACTTTTCAGTGATTTCTGCACGCACCTACTTTTGATACGGTGTGAAAAAAAAAAAAAAAAAAAACCTCAGCAAAGTAGTTCAACCAGGTGGGCAACATTAAAATAAACCAAGCTAAAATAAGTCTTTCAGGCGTGACGGCTGATTGGACAAAACTAATCATGACAGCAGGAAATGAGCAATGTGTACAAGGTGAGGCTGGGATTTAATAAGAAATAAAGTAAACCGAACAAAAATATACTGCAGAAATGAGAGATTACATTAATCAATGTGGTAAACTTCTTCATTGTGAATTGCGCCAACCAATTATCAAATAAAATCTTACAATGTATGTTAGCAAACATTATGAGTAAAATAGGCCTGCCACGATAACAAATTTTGCTGGGCGATTAAATGTCTCAGAAATTATTGCGAGAATTGATAATATTGTTTGAAATTTCACAATAATTAGTAATTATTGTCAAAATTACGAAGTAATGTTGTTTAATTTTTTTGTGTGTAGCACCTTTGTTGACCACCCGATGGAGTACAAGACAGTTTGAACTGAAGGATAGATAGTGAGGGAGTGAGCAGCATGTCTCTTTGAGAAAAATGAGAGGGAGGCCCCTTGACGTGACATGGGCTGTCTCTCCTTCCTTTTTTTCTATTCTCAAAATGGCGGACGCTCGGTGTGGTTTGAGCTCTTTAGCACAGCATTTTTCACACAAAACTTTTCATTTAAAAAAATCTGTAAAAAAGTTCTCAGCTTCTTTTTGCAGAGAAAAACAACTTTTTACACAAAGGCACGGGTTTCAATTGTGAATATTGAATCTTTGACAAGACAGAAGTTTTTCCAGAGGTCGGGGCCTGTTAGCTTAGCTCGTTGCTTAGCTTATCAGCTTAGCTGCTTTTAACGATCCAAAAACACAATTTTGGACGGTTAAAACATATTTTAAAGAGAAAAGAGAAAGGGAAGGATCAGTGCAGAGCACCGGAGTTGAGCCCTTTGTCATCCAGTGTCTTCAGTAGAAAGAGAGAGACACGAAGAAACGATTAAGCCGATAAATGAAAATGAGGTTGATAATTTTCATTTATCATGCGATTAATTGATTTATTGTTTATCGCGACTGGCCTAAGTATAGGGTATATTGCATTTTGTTTTATTACAGCAAAGCCATAGCCTCCAGAGATATTTGACTTGTTCACAATCTGTGTTGCAGTTTAGCTCATTTGCGCTGCAGTTTCATCAGGGTCAAACGAAACAATAGCAGAACTCAACTTGCAGACTCCTACAATAAACAATGGTTTTAGAAAATGTCTCGTCAAATCCCCATGTCAGT